TAAGCTAAAGTTGTTCAGGTGACTATAGTGTCCCTTTAACATTTGTTGTTCCAGCACTTACCATAAATGCCAAGGCAACATCTTGAACTCTTTGTTACGTTCCTCAAATCATTCCTGAACATATTTTGCAGTTTGGTAGGGTGCATTATCCTGCTGAGAGATGCCTCTGCTATCAGGGAACTTCTTTGCCTTCAAGGGTTGTGTACGTGGTCTATAACAGTCTGTACACAGGTGGTATTTGTCAAAGTAACATCCACATGAATGCCAGGATCCAAGGTTTACAGGAGAATATTGACCATAACATAATACTGCCTGCACTGGCTGCCTCCTAGTGCTTCCTCCTACCATCTCTTCCCAATGTAAAGTATGCACACGCACCCGGCCATTCACCTGATCAAAAAGAAAATTTGATTCATCAGATCAAGCCATATTCTTTCATTGCTTCGTTGTCCAGTTCTGATGTTTACGTCCCCATTGAAGGAACTTTCAGTGGTCGACAAAGGTTATCACCAATTTGTGATTGGTCATCACTCTGGCAAATCTGTGGATACATAACCCGATACACAGCAAACTGTCATGCACTGTCTGTCAACCTTTCTATCATGGCCTGCATTATGTTTTTCAGCAATTTGCAATCCACATGCATCAATGACCCATGGGTACCCATGATCCAGTTGTCGGTTTCCCAGTTGTCCTTTCTTACACAACCTTTGGTAGGTACTAACAACTGCATACAGGGGACACCCCACAAGACTTGCTGTTTTGAAGATACTCTGAGCCATCGTTTAGCCATCATTATTTGGCCCTAAAAAAAGATCTTTTTGCATGCCAATTTTTTTTTTTTTTTTTTTTAGTTCACCCAGTTCTATGTATATGTATTGGTAATATGTAGCTCTGTGTATTGTAGCTCTATTTTTTCTCAGCTCTGTTTGTGGTATGATTATCTCTGTATTCCACTCTGCTCTGTGTATTTTATCAATATCTTTATGTTGTGACCAGCTTGTTTTATTGTGTGAGCATCTCTTTTCTATGCTCAGCTCTCTGTATTGTATGATCATCCATGTACTGTAAAGGGAGGATACAAATCTTGCCCCACCATCTTAAAGCTTCACCAGCTGCCATTGACAGTGTGCAGAGTTGATATTAATTTGATATGAAGTGAACAATAAGAGAGACCTGAAATTGACCTGATGTCCTCAGTCTTCTAAGTGGAAAACTTTTTAGAAGTGAAAATATGATAAGTAGTGCTTAAGTGTTTTACACTGTTCATGTTTCTCACATGAAAGCAAGCAGATCTTATCACTGCAGAAAGATGATGATTAAAGGGTTCAACACAGCTAGCAACATTCCAAGATTGTGTATTTTAGCTGAGCATAGGAACTGTGGGCTTACAACTTTATGGTCAGTTGGGTGACCATTAGAAAGTCTTAAAAGAGCTACCCAGTTCATTTTAACCAGCAATATTAGAATCTTGTCATCCATGGCTGTATGCAGACTCAGTGGCCAATTTCATAGAACCATAACATTTTATTGACACACTTATGCCTGCCAATGAGCAGTTAACAATGTTAACATGATCACAAATCCCATATTAACACAACTTTTACTCATTTCAGATTTGGTGAAAGTTGTCCCCATATCTTACATAAGAGCAAACACCACAAACACTGTTCGCTGACTTTATGATGTGTACAAGCAACAATAACTAACTAATTCTTTACTAATCAATTAGACCAAATAGAGTACTGTTACTTAAATATAACTATCAGTATTAACAACACAGTAAATCCACATGTTCACAGTACCTGAAATGTTCATTCAGAGGAACCTTTAATAATCACACACTATAAAGTCCATATGAAAACATAATAGCTTAATGACATACCCCCAATCCCAACCAATCCCCTCACAGGCTCTGGTGCATATGGAGATGTATTTATGCACTTTGTCCTTCCACTGCCTCTGACATATAATTATGATAATATTAACAATAATAATAATAACTTATTTTTCATGATGAGTCATATCTTTGAAATTGCTAATTAAGTGTTCTTGCATAGCAAGACCACTTAATGTTATCTCACATATATATTATTATTAAGTGTTCTTGCATAGCAATACCACTTACTGTTATTTCAAATATATATTATTATTCTTATTATTATTATTATAGCCAAATTTACCACCCTAACTCCTCCCACAGTTTTTACACTACATAGACAGTAATATACCGAAACGTGCGGATTGTTCCCGATCGGATTGCTATTACTTTGTGGAACGTTTCACCGACATACGTTTCATAGACATACTATGCATCAAAATGTAGGTCTGGGTCTTTTGATTCTCACAATATAAAGCTCTTCGCTGTAGGATGTATAGTTTTTAAAATACGACCGTTTGAAGATGGCAACCACCAAAATACTCTTTTGTACACCTGCTAATGTTTTTATAAATGTATCTTTTAATGTAACTGTGAAGCACTTTGGGCAACAACGTTGCAATTAAATGTGCTATATAAATAAATAAAAGTTGAAATGCATTTCTCACTCTATCAATATCGGCATCTTCGATATTGCCGAAAACACGAATATCGGCCGATAAAAAACCGATAATCGCTCGATTCCTAGTTGTAGACTACTGGTGGAGGCAAGAACACTTCACACAATTTCTCCAGAAATTGTAGCTTTTCTAGTTAAGTGTTCTTGCATAGCAAGACCACTTAATGTTATCTCACATATATATTATTATTGTGTTCTTGCATAGCAAGACCATTTAATGTTATCTCACATATATATTATTAAGTGTTCTTGCATAGCAAGACCACTTAATGTTATCTCACATATATATTATTCTTATTCTTATTATAGCCAAATTTACTACCCTAACTCCTCCCACAGTTTTTACACTACATAGACAGTAATATACCGAAATGTGCGGATTGTTCCCGATCAGATTGCTATTACTGTGTGGAACGTTTCGCCGAATGGTCCACGGAATATCATCGTTCTTGTGGCGAAATTGGTCCTATAGGAATGAATTTTCCCAAAAATTTTTGCTTTTCTAGTATTATAATTTTAATTGTTCAGGTTATTTATTCTATGACTTGAATTATAACTCAAATGCATTTGTTGGGGTATTACATTTACTAATGAAATATGTTATTGTATGAAAATTAGGGAATTGCATTTGATCACTGTACACAGTGCTACACAGCATTGTTTGTTAAGGGACGTCTACACAATGAGTTTGTGGAGTAATTTTACAACTCAATTGTTAGATATATTCAAATCGATTTACTAGATCCCAATGTGTATTTTTGGCAGTACAGCAAAGTAATGCCAAAAAAAGCTATTTACTAACTGGTAAAACGTTTCAATTTGAATTAGAAAGAGTTCCATCTGAAGCGTAAATGCTCCTTAGTAAACCATAGAAACCACAAAGTCATTTGCTATTTACCAAATAGGATCGTTTCACCAACAACAAAAATAGCCCTTATACTGGAAAAAATATATTGTGAGAACAGGCTAGCCTATCTGCAGTATGATAAACATTAATAACTAGCGTTTGGACAGCCTTTGCTGCCCAGTCACTAGAAACTGGCATGTAAAATAATTTGGGGACATTCTCCCCCCATGCCCACATCCGTGGGTGGGGGATACTTGAAATTTTAAGGTGTGGACCTAGTGACCCAAGAATGCTCAGACACAAAAACAGGTACACTGCCAGAGATACAGGCACACTCAGTCAGAAATGCACAAACCCACTCTCAATCACATTCATAGGTACATAATGCAAGACACTCAGACACACTCAGCCCTACCATGCAGCTCTCGACACTCACAGAAATAGAGTCGAGGGCTCTAAGAGGGGAGCCCAATCTTGCAACATGCCTAGGGCCATGGGCAACCTTAATCTGGCTCTGGATAAAAGAACCCAAGAGGCTGGGCATGTCCTGGGCCCTGAAATATTGCTCAATTATTTGTAACTAGGAATCTCCTGGGCTTCTCTGTAATAACTCACTCTCCACTGTTTAAATGGCACAGCCTACAGTGAGCATTGTTGCTGATCATATGCATCCATTTATGACTGCAGTTCTATCTTCTGATTGCTGCTTCTAACAGGATAACACACCATTTGACTGTACACTTGTCACCTCTATATTGTTACAAAAATGTAACCATGGGTCCAGTGTACTCAATCCAATACAGTGTATTTGGCATGCAGTAGAAGGAGAGATTTGCAGCATGATTGTACAGCTGACAAATTTATGACAACTATGTGATGATACCATGTCAATATGGATCAGAATCTCTAAGCAACATTTCCAGAACCTTGTGGAAGCCACATTATGAAGAATTATGGCTATTGTGGAGAAGAGGATACCATTTCAATAGTTATTGCTAGTATTAATGAAGAAAAAAAGTTGATGGGTTTGGCGAGTAGAAGCATATTCCCACTGACACTCTTTGTAATATCTCTAAATGAGGAATGATTTAAACCATTGTGATTCAGATTTTTGAAACTGTTTATTGAGTTAAATATAGTAAAACATTCACCAGGAGTAGAATGCCATTGTTCTGGACACAAACTACACCTAGCCATTATACTCTGATTCAAGATGATTGTAGATAACACAGTTTGGGGTACTAGCTTAGAAATAAATTGATATTTTCCATTTACTTTTTCCTCATAAACATAGTCAGGCATTTTTAAGAAATAATAATTAAGTGTTCTTGCATTGCAAGACCACTTATTATTATCTCACATATATTGTATTATTCTTAACATAGCCAAATTTACCACCCTAACTCCTCCCACAGCTTTTACACTACATAGACAGTAATATACTGAAACGTGCGGATTGTTCCCGATCGGTGTGCTATTACTTTGTGGAACGTTTCGCTGAATGGTTCATGAAAAATTGGTTCCATTGGAATGAATGGCAAAATGTTCAAAACTAGAGTGGGAGCTGAAAAATCAGGACGTGATTTCTAAACTGCCACCACTCCCTCATTTTCAAGCCCACCTACACAAATCTTATATTAAAACGTTCAGCTATCCCTGCTGCCGCTAAAAATGTCCATGGCTAAGCCATAGTCCTGATAGTTTTCACAATATGACCATTTGTTTGCAACTCACGCCGTCCATTGACATTCATTGAAACTCCACTCTAGCCAGCTCAAATTTGAAGGGCAATTTCTAAACTGCGACTGTGCCTTCATTGTTAATACTATGCATCAAATGTAGGTCTGGGTCTTGTGATTCTCACAATATAAAGATCTTCGCTGTATGATGTATAGTTTTTAAACTACGACCATGTGAAGATGGCAACCGCCAGTGAAGTGAGCAATTTGGAGCAGTTTGTTTTTAACCGCTCTTCTCTGCCCTTGTTGTAGAGTGAGTTGCCATAGGAACCCAGGTGTGTGAGCAGCCAGCAGAATGTTCCAGAACACAGAGGCTGCTAGATGAAACACATTCTCTAAACTGCTGTCACTCCTACAGTTTTGATGACACAAAAGTGAGCACTATCACATTTTTAAAATATATTTCCATGTTAGTCAATTCGTTAAACAGTAACATACAATGTTACAACAATACAGCTAATCAATGTTTCATAAAGTTACTCTGCCCAGTCCAACCTTTCCACAGTTACTCCAGCCACTCCAACCACACAACAGTTACTCAAGCCACCCCACCCAGTTACTCCGCCCACTCCAGTTGTAGACTACCGGTGGAGGTAGAAGACTTCACGCAATTTCCCCAGAAATTTTAGCTTTTCTAGTTACTATAGCAATATTAGTGGATCTGGAATGTTTGAGATATCAAAAGAGCATTGGACTGTATTTGTAAACATTGGGCATACAGGTTTTTGCACATTTGCAAAATATGTGAATAGACTTGGTTTAACCCCTTAAGGACCAAACTTCTGGAATAAAAGGGAATCATGACATGTCACACATGTCATGTGTCCTTAAGGGGTTAAAAGGCATGAATAGGGGTGCAGATTATACATATTTTTTTCATAATTCCTTCCAAGCACGTGTCACAGCCTTTCAAGAAAGTATATACATTTTGAGAATTATTCATCAAGATCTTGGATATTTGTTGATCTCTTGGTCTTCAAGTTGACAGACACCTGGATTTATGATTTCGTATCAATGATGATGGACACAAAGTCTTTACATTTGGGTTTTCAAAGGGCTGTGGAAATATGCAGGTATGCTTATTTGAAGAACCTTTCTTCATTGCAAAACAGCTGGGCTGCTATTCTGTCTAGTCTGTTGTAAGAAACAAGATAACACAGGAAACAAATGCATTTTTTCAAGCTATACTAACCTGGTAGTGATGTATTTGAATTATATCATTTATCATTCATCATCCTTACTAGACTTGTGCACAGTGTAAAAATGTGATTAGTCTTAATCGATTCATATGAAAAAACGAAATTGTTTTTGACGATTCAGGTTTCGTCCATGTGGCGTTTTGGTTTGCATCAATGTTGCGCATGCAATCAATTCAGGAAAAACTGATTTGCACAAACTTAAATTGAGTGAGTCCAAATAATATATTGTGTATTCATTTATTAAGTATTTGAAGACTAAAAGTGGTAAACGATGTAAGTGCCAAAAAAATTTATACACTGTTTTCCACGTTTAAGTGTCAAATGAGCAATGCTTTATAATGGGGTAAACGTGAAAAGTGCCTGATAGTCCTCTAAGTGGTTCAAATGAGCGTGTAAAGAGGTCACTATTTGTAAGTGCCAGATATGTGCAAAAAAGTTTTTTGCGATTTCCCAACATTTTCGCTTTTCACACTTAGTACGTTTACCACTTTTAGTCCTCATTTATTAAATAAATAATATATAAATATATTTTTTTACTGCTATGTGGATAAAATCAATATTTAGTGGCTGTCCCCCAACATCAATCATCTTTTTGTTTTTGCCATTGGCGAAAACTTGAATTACAAAACAAATATAATGGCTCATTCATTGCCCATTTCATTTCTTGTCACGTTTCGTCAATATAGTGATTCAGGGTTACAGGATTTCTGGCAAGTCGACAGTTGCCCAAAATATGGACAAAATTGGATTAGTTTGAAACAAAAAGCACAAGTCTAATGCTGATTGGCTCATTAAGTTTCTTTATAAAAAGGATTGCCCTGCTAGCTTGACTTTCCTGTAAGAGGCAGCATTTATGTGTTTGAAAATTTTAAGATCTCTTTTTATCTTTACCGTTGTAATAAATCTTTCTGCACTTTTGAAGTCGATTTGAGCTTAATTACTCTGTCAAAGTATTTCCTTAACCCTAAAATTCCAGGTACATTTGTGGGAATACTATTACTACTGCATTTGTTTTGCAACCTACACTTTTATGTGTCTTTTGTATACCTTTCTCTATATGTGCTGAGAGAAAATCAGCTGAAGGATACAGTGTACTAAGTATCATCTTCACTTGCTCAATATTATCTCACAATTTGCACATATTATAGGCTTATCACCTAAACAGCTACTTTCTTTAAAAATACTGCTCCACTCTTTCTTATCTTTTTCATGATTAAAATGGAGCAGGCAAGCTCCTACTCCCCTATTTGGGAGAGAAGACCATCATAATGACCTTGAGCTTTTGATTGGGGCTAAACCTCTGGACCTGTTACCTTTAAATGGACAAGTGACCTCCTCTCCAGTCTTGGGAACGCCCATATTCTCTTCCAGGTTGATAAGCTCTGTTATCATGAAAGGGGGGTCTTTCTTCATATCTTCTGTCCCTGAAAGATCTTTTGGGTCTGCAGTCTTGGGGTAGAAATGCTCTTCTCCTTTCTGCAGCTCTCTTGATGCACTCATCTAAGTGCTTACCAAAAAGCATTTCAACTTGGAAATGGAAGAGAGCATAGACTTTGTTTGGATGATGACTCAGCTGTTCAAGATCTTAGCCAAAGGGCCCTTCTGGCTGAGACAGATAAAACCATATTTCACGATAAGGCTCTGACCATGTCTATTGAGGCTTCTCATGTAAAACCCACAGCCAGTTTAACATCTTGAAGACTGTCTATAATAGATGACCTGCTGCTTCCATTACTCATATCCTCCTCAATATCCTCTAGCCATATCATGAGAGCTCGGTATACAGAAGGGGTGGAGCCCAATGCCTGCTGCTACATGAGCTTTGGCCAAATTGAGATCCAGTTTGCGATCCATGGAATCTCTGAGGGAGTCTGCATTGCCCACTGGTAAAGTGGTATGTTTAGCCAATCTCACTATGGCTGCATCTACTTTGAGAGCTGTGTCCCAGGCGGCAGAATCCGATGATTCAAAGGGGTATAGCCGGTTAATTCTTCCTTGAGGTGAAAGCTTTTTATTTGTCTTAGTCCATTCCTGAAGTATAAGTTCCTTGGAAATTTGATTTTCTTTCTTTTCAAGTCTGCAAAATACCTGATGGAGGAAGACTCTTCCTTATTAGATTATTTGAGGCTTAATGATTTACACACTCTGGAAATTAGGTGATTAATACTGGATAGGTCCAGTGAGTCAACTGAGGGCAGAGTTTCTTCTTCTGAGGAAAACATGTCTTGAAAGGATTCTACTTCTATAACTGAACTGGATGAATCATCTCTAGGCCTTTTCCATGACCCACTGGACTCCATAATACCCTGGGACACTGCTTGTTTGATAAACCCCATGATATCCCATGAAGAGATTGAAGGAACTGCTGCTGCTGACAGGCACGCTTTCCTTCTAGGGCCTTAGAGTTCAATGCTTCACATTGTTGTTTCCTTGGAGACTTCCTTTTTTCCCCATTAAGCTAAAACGAAAATGAAGCATAGATAAATATGCACTCTATTGTTTAGCGTGATTATCCTGATTCCTAAAGAGAAGATTATTAAATTAGTGTTTAAAACAGTAAAACCTATCAAGACGATGAAATCACCAGTAAAAGTGCAGTTTTTGTGTAAAGAAATGCAAAAAACAAATATGATTGTTAACTTTGGCAAGCATTTGTGACTAAGTGGCTACTACAAAAGACTGGACGTACCCAATTTCGAATACCCTGGGTTGTCTACTTTTTCAAATGGTATGTCATGGTGGAGTTTATTTTAATTTCTTGGCTGCCATACCGTCTCAAAGACAACATACCCAATCTAGCAAATAGCAATTTACAAAAATAGAAATTGGCAAATCTTATGTTTGACCCTGTAACTTTCCAAATCACCATAAAACCTGTACTTGAGTGGTACTGTTGTATTAATGAGACATTACTCTACACATATATGAGTGTTTTAGAGCAATAAAATGTAATATGCTAATAATATCATCTGTAAAATGGCACTTTGTGTGTGAAAAATGCAAAACATATATATAAAAACTCTAAGTTTGGCCAGGGTTTGTGACTAGTGGCTACTAAAAAAGACTGAACATACCCCATTTTAAATACCGGGGGTTGTCTACTTTTACAAATGGTATGCCATGATGGGGTTAATTTTCATTCCTGGGCTGCCATACGGTCTCAAAGGCAACATAGGCCCAGCAAACCAATCTGGAAAATTTAAATGTGCAAACATGGAAAAGCCCTACATTTGACCCCTGTAAATTTACAAAAACCCATAAAACCTGTACATTGGGGGTATTGTTGTACTCAGACGTTGTTGCTGAACACATATTGGGGTGTTCTTTGGCAGTAAGACATAACAGGAACTGAGACTCCATGCCTAAAGTACAATGTGAGAGAAAAATAACTCAAAAAAATTACTACCCAAATGTTTGAAAAAGACTGGTGGTAGAATAAGTGCATGGAAAGTGTTAAAATACCACCTTTTGAAATACCTTAGGGTGTCTACTTTTCAAAAATATATGGTTTGATGGGGGTAAATTATATTGACAAGCTGTGAAAATTCTAAGTTGGAAACTGGAATGCGCACCCTCCAAATAAGGTCTTTTAGGCCCCAGAGAACTCGACACACTTATACATGGGTGGTATCACTGTACTCAGGAGATGTTGCTGAACACATATTGGGATGTTCTTTTGCAGTAATACTTTAAGTACTCAGTACATGTATTTTTAAATTGTTATGTGTGTCAAAAAAATCACCAATAATTATATATTTTCTTTCTTTGGCAGAGATTGGTGGTGAAATGGTTGCATGAAAAGAGTAAAAATACTCCAAATGTAATACCTTAGGTTGTCTTCTTTTAAAAAATATATACATGTGAATGGTT